AAAGCAGTGAAGCAGGTGCATCCGTGTTTGCCGTAAAGAACAGGATGGAGGTCAAAGAGCTCGTGTGCTCACATTGTGGGAAAACAGGACATGATATTGAGGCATGCTACAAGCTGATCGGGTACCCAGAGGGATGGGTGTATCGCGATCAGGCCGGAAGAGGAAGAGGAAACGGTCGGGGAAGGGGTCGTGGTGCTGCACGAGGTGGCGAACGGTCAACCGTGGCGGCTGGACGGTCGACCGTTACGGGCAGACGAGGGGAAGTCCATGCAGTTCAAGGGGAAGAAAAAGGACCATCCCCGCTCCCGAATTTTGAGGATCTGACACCTGAACTGTGGAACGCTGTTCGTCATGCCCTCTCGCTCTCCCCTACAGATAACTCACAGAAACTCTCAAGTATCCCTGTATCACCTCGTTGGATAATTGATACTGGTGCGTCCAATCATATGACAGATGAACTTTCGTTATTATATGATGTTGTGGGAGTGTCTCCTTGTGAAATTGGACTGCCTGATGGGAAACGGGTTGTGTCTGTTCAATCTGGAAAGGTTGATTTGACTATGACTATGACTTTGCAGAATGTGTTGTTTGTTCCAACCTTGAATTGCCATTTAATTTCTGTGTCACAGTTGACAAGGGATATGAACTGTGAAGCAAAGTTTACCAACGATTTGTGCATCTTATAGGACCTAAGTTTGAGGACAACGATTGGTGTGGGTAGACATGAAGGAGGTTTGTACTACCTAAAGAAGGAAGGGAGGAGCATGGCGTGCAGTGCTGCTAAGAAGAATGTGTTTGACCTTTGGCACAAACGTCTAGGACATCATTCTTCGCATGTTTTATCATTAGTTCCTGTAGTTGGTTCAAATAAAAGTAGTCATAGTTATTGTGATATCTATTTGTGTGCTAAACAAACTCGTGCCAGTTTCCCTATCAGTTTTCATCAATCTGTGGACAAGTTTGATATGGTACATTGTGATGTGTGGGGTCCTTATCGGACATCAAGTTTGGATGGTTCTACACTGTTTTTGACTATTGTAGATGATTTATCGCGTGGTGTGTGGGTATATTTGCTTGATTCAAAACGAACTGTAGGGAGTGTTTTTAAACAATTTTGTGCCATGGTTGATTTTCAATTTGGGAAGAGAATAAAATGTGTGAGAACTGACAATGGTACAGAATTTGAGTGCTTGAACGAATATTTTTTGGAGAAGGGAATTGTTTGTGAGACATCTTGTGTGTCTACACCACAACAGAATGGAAGGGTGGAGCGTAAGCATCGACATATTCTGAATGTGGGACGTGCTCTGAGATTTCAAGCGGGTTTTCCGATAGAATTTTGGGGAGAATGTATACAAACAGTGGCATATTTGATTAACCGGACTCCCTCGTCTCTCCTAGGGAGGGTTACACTGTATGAGAAGCTCTATGGAAGGGCCCCTGCGTTAACTCACATTTGTATTTTTAGTTGCAGATGTTACGTTCACAACCTGAAGAGAGACGGAGATAAATTTGCACCCAGAAGTATTCCTGGAATATTTTTGGGCTATCCACAAGGAAAGAAGGGATGGCGCATGTATTTTCCGGACACTGGGAAAATAAGCGTGTCCCGAGATGTTGTGTTCTGTGAAAATATTTTTCCCTACTTGATTTCCACAAGTGAAATGTTGAATGAAGATGGAGCAACGGTTCCACGAGGAACGGTCAACCGAGGAGACCTATGAAGCAAGTGAGTTACAGACAGTAGACCTAGTGGACCGTCCCGCTGTCCACGGTCGATTGTCTGAGAGGCAGAAAGATGGACTTTTGGGAGTGCAACCAATGGTCGACGTGGTGGACCGTTCTGATAACCACGGTCGACCGTCCGAAGGGCAGAAAGATAACCTCCGGAGGGATGATGAAACGGTCGACCGTGACGAGGAGAACGGTCGAGAACGGTCGACCGTCTCTGCGGCAGAAAGAAGACGCTCAGGAACCATTACAGACGGTTGACCTCGTGGACCGTTCCACGGATGGCGGTTGACCGTCCTCTCTCCAGAACACAACAGAGACCTTGAGGCGTGGTCAGCGGGAAAGGCGCCCAAATGTGAGGCTTGCGGACTATGTTACGCATGTGTCTGGTCCACAGATCGGAGAAAAGTGCAGATATCCACTCTCCTCATATGTCACTTATGCGAAATTTTCTGACAAACATATGTGTTTTCTCGCAGCACTTGATGAAGAAATAGAGCCTAAAAATTTCAAACTGGCCTTTCAGGATGAACGTTGGAGGAAGGCCATGCGAGAAGAAATTGATGCGTTGGAAGCCAATGGTACGTGGTCTCTTGTTCGTCCTTCATGTTATAAAAAGGCTCTTGGATGCAAGTGGGTATATAAAATCAAGCGCAAGTCTGATGGCAGTATAGAGAGATACAAGGCTCGGCTTGTTATACTTGGTAATCACCAGGTTGAAGGTATTGACTACAAAGAAACTTTTGCTCCTGTGGTCAAGTTGACTGCCGTGCGCACCCTTTTAGCAGTCGCAACATTTAAGGGATGGGAATTGCATCAAATGGATGTTCACAATGCATTCCTGCATAGAGATCTTCCGGATGAGGTGTATATGAGGTTGCCACCTGGTTTCTCGAGTTTGTCCAATATGGTGTGCAAACTCAAGAAGTCTTTGTATGGCTTGAAACAGGCTCCAAGATGTTGGTTTGCAAAATTGTCTGGGGCATTGAGACGATATGGATTTGTGCAGTCTGTTTCCGATTACTCTTTATTTTCTTTTGTTGGAAAGAAAGGAGTAATTCATGTTCTAGTCTATGTAGATGATTTGATCATTGCGGGTGATA